AAAAAAAATAGTCACATAATTCGCGCTTTTATACCCGCGAATTTGCCTAATCAATTAGTATTTACTATTTACTATTGAGTGAGCTGAACACCAGCCGTGCAATGTGCAAAATGAAACATGGAACATCTTCACTTTCGCTTCTTGCTAATCTTGTAGTATAACTTGCGCATGATTAGCATATGTACAAAATATTTGCTTGAAAAAAGCTCAACATTAAACGACAGATTTATCGTTTAATACGCGCCATAATAAATCATAGCACACGTTGATCATAATTGAATAAGCAGCGATAGAGATATATGATCTTCTTGAAAAGGCAATCTCCTTAAAGCCAGTCAAGCTCATCCATACCCTTCAAGTGTATAAAAGACACAGATAGCCCGTCAACTTTTAAATCTCGTGAAACGGTCTTGATTCTCCATCACAGAACACATTCGCGAAGATTTTTCACAAATGACTTTAAAAACTGACAACATTCAAAACGTTGAATATGAAGTCTACAGAAATTCAGAAAAGTAATTCTTCTGAGATAATGAGGCTCAAGAAGGTGATGCCCCAAAAGAAGGGATCTTCAAGAGACTAGGTGGTATCTTTACTTGTGGTGCTGCATTCTTGAGTGATGGATATCAACAGGGTGTTATGACCATGGCTAATGCTGTTTTATCAAAATCTTTTAAAGGCTATACTACCAAATACAAAACAATGGTTTCTAATTCTATCTTGGTGGCTAATATAATTGGTCAAATTGCTTTTGGGTTTATTACAGATCGTGTGGGTAGAAAACAAGCTTTCATTTATACCACTGTATTCATTATTGTTGGTGCTATTGTTTGTGCTTGTGCTTCTGGATCCACTGAACAACGTTTATTTTGGATGTTTTTTTATTGGAAGAGGTATTTTGGGTTGTGGTGTTGGTGGTGAATATCCAACTTCTGCTTCTGCAAGTATTGAAACAGCAAATGAGAAAATGAGTATCAAAAATAGAGTTACTCCATTTATTATGTCTACAAATTTCTTCGTTGCCGCAGGTATTCCAATTGCTACAATTGTATTTTTAATTGTTCATGAGATTTGGGGACCAAATCATTTAAATGGTATATGGAGAACATGTTTTGCTATCGGTGCAGTAATTCCAATATCAATTTTCTATTTCCGTTGGAAATTAGATCATGCAAATTCTTATAAAACTAATGCTATCAAGAGAAAAGTTTCGTATAAATTGGTTTGGAAAAAATATTGGAAAGAATTTGTCTCTACTGCTGCAATGTGGTTTTTCATGGATATGATTGTTTATCCAAATAATATCTTTAGTACTTCCATCTTGGCTGTTGCAATTCCAAAAGCAACTCTAAAAAGAACTGGTGAATGACAATTGTTTTTATCATCATTTTCCATTTTTGGTGTCTTTGCAAGTTGTATTGGATTAAGATTTCTCACAAGAAGACAAACTATTATCTCTGGTTTTATTGGATATGGTATTATTAGTTTCATTGTTGGTGGTGCTTTTGAGAAATTTTCTGAAATTCCAGCTTTATTAATCATCTTTTATGCTTTGTTAAATATGATTATTAACTTTGGTCCTGCTAGTCTACAATCTGTGGTTAGTTCTGAATCTTTTCCAACTGCCGTTAGAGGTACAATTTATGGTATCTCTGCAGGTATTGGGAAAGCAGGTGCTGCTGTCGGTACTAAAGTTTTCACACCATTACAAGTCAATTATGGGAAAAGATACACTTTCTTTCTAAGTGGTGGTATTTCGTTTTTAGGTGCTATTGTTGTTTGGTGGGGATGTCCAGATTATGGTGATCGTAAATTATATTTTCTTGATGAAGAGTTGAATCAATATTTAAAAGAAAATGGATGGGAAGGTTCTATTGGTGAAAACGAAAACGCAAAAGAGCTATAATCTGTTTATTGTTAATTTATATCATTTCTGAGCAATTACTTCACCATGTATTTGAACCCAGCTTGCCTTATCATCATTAGCCCATTGAAGCCATGCTTCCTTCAATTGAGACTTGGTGTATTTATCCGAGCTGTTATACTTTATGGAATCTAATCTTTTGATATACATATTTGAAAATAATTCTCTATCAGCTCTGCTTGAAATGCACCAGGTTGAAGTAGTATGTATGATTTTATCTGGTTTAAACTTTACACCAATAAATAGCTCTTTTAATCTTGAACCACCATACCAACAAGTAAATTCAGTAGTTGCTTTTTCCAAATAATAGAAAAGTGGCTCTATAAAAACTTCTGGATAGAAGATACAAGCTTGTAAGTCACCATCTCTACAACATAAATAACCACCTGGTTTCAATACTCGCTTCATTTCTTGTAGTGCTTTCAATGGATTTTCCAAATGCACAATCACTTGATGAGCATGAACAATATCAAAACAGCTATCCGGATATGGTAAAGAATACACGGAACACACTTCAAATGAAACGTTTGGTTGTGATTTCTTTGTAGTTTCATCCCCCAAGGCTTCATCAATTAATTCTTTTGTAGGTTCAATACCAATAATCTCACCTTTTGGAACATATTTACCCAAATCATAAGTAATTGTCCCTGGACCGCAACCCACATCTAAAATCTTGTCTGTTGGTTTGATGAAATTCAACATATAAGCACAAGAATTCTTTACATTTCTCCAAGAATGAGTCTGTGAGATGGACGCGTCATGCCCATCTCTGTAATATGTTTGATCAGTTGAAGACATGAGTTGTTGTTGATGCTACATCTTGCAACTTTCATGTTGAAACATTAATCAATTACTTATACATCCCCCCCTCGATTACGTTAAGTCTTTGTCATCGGATCTTATAAAGAGTATCTAAAGCCTCGTTGTTGTTTGTCTGTAAGATCCATAAACTCTTCATTCTCAACATATATCTCTTTTCCCTCTGCTAAGTCTTTGGCATCACTGGCATCCCTTTTCTTGTTTACCCATTGATAGTAAAATCTTAAGATCATTGGTAAGATCATTAGCAAAATCCAACATACAATCATCATTCTAAAACCTTCATCATAACCTGTTTCATCTGGATGTTTTGGTGCTTGAGAAGAGACAAAAAATTGAGGCCCAGCAATCATACCAACACAATACGCAATGAAAACAATAGCATTAGCAGTAGTTCTTTTTGTATAACCGGAGTAGCTACGGGTCATCAATGTGAAGATACCAATATCTGAGACTGTGTTTGAGTATTGAATCCAAAAAGCAACTAGTCTTCCAGCACGTTTGGAGTTTGGATGGTTGGGCAAGTATTTAACAATACATGTTCCAATTAAACATGGGATCATGAACACAGACTGTGTCCATAAAGCAGAATCAGGAACAGTGGCCACAATCCAACCCCCAACCAACAAAGTTATACCCTGAATAATACCAGAAACAGATTGAAGCAGGACAGTGTTTAATGACGAAAAGCCAAAAGATTTTATAATTAAAGTACCGAAAACGCTTATACCTGATGCTGATAAACAGCCAACAAACTCAATTATGGCTAGCATTATAATTTGGAAATCCAATAAAGCTTCTTTAACTTGATCAACCTTGAAAGTTTCATTTTTAACTCCAGTTTTATTTCTTCTAATTCTTTCCACCGCAATATATTTTTCTCTATCATTCAAAAATTTGGCATTTGGAATTGAATCAGGAAGAAAGAAAAAAACGGCAATACCCCAAAAAAACGTCAATAATCCATAAATGATGTAAAACCATTTCCAAGATGGGATTGAAGATACAATATGTCCTAAACCATAAGCTATAATACTACCAAGAAAAACACCCAAAGCATTTCCACAGTACCAATAGGCGACTCTGACAGGTTGTTCCTTCTTTGTGTACCAAGACCCTGTGAGCAAAACCCATGAAGGAGAAACTGCTGCTTCAAATAAACCCAAAAAGAATCTTATAATAGCTAAACCTGCAAAGTTCTTGGTTGCAACAGTACATATCAAAATGATTGACCATAAAACTAATGAGCCACCAACGTATTTTGAAATTGAGAACCTTTGGCACATATAACTAGCAAATGGTTGTCCAATCAAATAAGAGAAATAAAAGATAGATCCACACCAAGAGTATTGTTGACCATGTAGGTTCAAATCTTTATCCAAACCAAATACTGAACTTTGAGAAAGTGCACTTTTATCCAAAAATTGTAAAAAATATGAAAGAACCAAAAACGGCATCAAATGTCTATCAATCTTTCTCAACAGTTTCTTCTCTTCACTTGGAGTTATTTCAACACCCTGATGCTTAGCTGCTATTTCCAGGGCAATATCAGCTCCAGCTGGTGTATCGGAAACCTCTTGAACTTCACCACTGTTTAAAGATTTTTCATCAACTTTTTCTTCCAACTTATGTGTCATTGTCTTTGGTTGTTGAGACAAGACTATTGGCGATAGAGAGTTAAATGTGTTCCTTTATATATACCATGGTGTTAAATGGGGAAAGATAATAATATCACCATATTCTTCGTTCTAGTGATGTACAAAGTTGATAAGATTTGATTCTTGGGTATTTTTTTTTTCTCTAGTTTTGAAGAATTACTAAAAGCGGAAGCTTCCCAATACAGTAATTACTACAATGTTCACTATCACACATATATTTTTATAGAGGCTCAAGCTCAGGATACATTCTAGTTATGACACCATTTTCCACTATTACAGCAATATTAGAGTCATAGTTTGTTGGCGAACCTTCAAGAACAATAAAACTCTGATTCTCGGACTTCAAATTGAAAATTTTGTCAACATTGTATGACAACAAGTTAACAGCTTCACTTTCAGAAAGACCACCAAAAGATGCAGCTGAGGCACAATAGTCAAGTGCTAACCTAACATCCAGGTCTTCTGGATATCCTAAACCAACCGTAATACCTTCTCGTGTTAAGTTTTGTAGCAAGGAAATTTCACCACCGACTCCAGTTAAACAGCGACGTTCGTCCCAAAACTTGCGTTGGCAGGCCCAACCTTTCAAGACAACAGGAATATTTTCTGCTTTTAATTTATCAACAATTAAATGTGATTCTAGTCCACCAATAACTATCACGTTCAATTTAAGCTCTTTTTTCAACTTTATCAAATGAAGCAGCACATCTTTACTATTAACATGAACAGCTAAAGGCAGTACACCTCTTGCCACCTCACCAAAAGTGTTTTCACTAAACAAATTTTTGTATAATAGATCTCTCAACGTTGAAATTTGGGATGAAATAGTTGGTGACATGTCTTCTTTACCCATGTCTCCCAATGTAATATGTAATGCAACTTCCTGTTTCAGTATACCTGACAGATCTTGAGCATTTGAATCAAAACTTGTACTGACACCAGTTATGAATTTCTTACCTTCAGATCTAAATGGAGGTGTGATTATTTTCAAGACACCTGAATTGTAAGCTCTTTTCAAATGCTCACTTTGCAAATGTAAACCATCCTTTGACTTCAACACCTGAAAGCCTTCGATACTTCTAGAGTCACCGTCGCCAGTTGATTGCTCAGATTGCATTTCAACTAATCCATGGGACTCAGTAAGAGCAGTTAAGCCTGGTAACAATGCTCCATTTTCCACTGAAATCAGCTCATAATGATTGTTGGTATAATTTTTGCATGATTTGGCAAAGCATTCTATATGTCCATCAGCGACTAGTAGCTCATAAGGATCACTATCAATCTTTTCGATACCTTTCATAAAAGATTTTTCAATACCAGTAATAATGAATTGATCAGAACTCTCTCCATTTCTTGTAAAATTAGACTTTATCCTATTTCCTAGCTTTTGTTCATGAAATTCCTTTGTTATATCCAATGACATTATAGTTTCACCATCAATGAATACACTTAAAGGGGTTGATCCTGGCTTTAGCGGGTGTTTATTCCATATAACAATATCAGCATCATAGCCTTTCCTCAAAAAACCAATTCTATCGTCAAGCCCTAAGCCTATTGCAGCTTGACCAGTTATACTTGCAAATGCTTTCTCTTTGGAAAGACCATAATTGTGCGCAATCTGAGCTTGAAAGTTCAACGTATGTCCTGGTAATGCCGGATGATCAGTAGTTAGGACAACATTAATATCATTTTTCTCCAAAATAGCAGGACTGAACAATGAAGCTTGAAATGCTTCCTTCTTGAATCCCCATAACGAAGCAAATGTTGCAACAGTAATGTTCCAAGGAAGGTTCTTTAAAATTTGAGGAATTTTATATGCATCTAAAGCATGATGCAAAGCATCAACCTGAAAACCAAACTCTTTTGCATGCCTTAATAATGTTTCAATATCAAAGGTCTCATAGCAATGCGCATTACTTTGAACTTGACCTCTCAATAGTCCCACTAAAATTTCCAATTCAACGCTATAAGGGAATGGATTTGTAGGCAAATGTCTTCGAGCCACATTATCACACCATTCATCTTGTTCATCTCTTAATAGCTCTGCTCTATGGATATATTCCCTGAATAAATAACCCAACCCCATTCTTGACTTTGGAGCCTCTGGTCTTGAAGTATACCGTTTTTTGGGGTTTTCACCACATGCCATTTTCATCCAACGCTGCCTTTGACCCTGATTAGGAAGATGTCCTTGATGATACTGAACAAGCATATCCTCAACAGATGATGATGGTGGAACAAACATCTTAAATGCATATCCTTCACCTGAGATTAAATTAGCACTTGGTAGAACTAATGAGGTGGTCACACCGCCTTTGGCAATTAGCTGAATTGCAGGATCTCCAATATTGAAGGCATCAATTACTCTAGTGAATGGAGTTACTGGGCTCATTAACTCAAACATATCATTAACACCTTTCAACTCTGGCTGAGAGCAAATTCCAGCATGTGAATGCATCTCAACTAAACCAGGCGAAACAATGTGCCCTTGTGCATCAATTACTTCAACAATATTGAAGTTTTGTTGAAAGTAAACACTTTCTATCGACTCTGCCTCATGAATATTTGATATAATGCCATTTTCGATATAAATATCCACCTTTTGCTTTGATAATGTACCATCACCATCAAGTAATAAAGCATTTTTGATTAGCTTTGGAGCACCAGCTTTAAGACCATGAACTTTGACTCGTGGATTGAAGTTTCTTTGAATTGGATCTAGTCTATATGGTTTTGTAAACCTACCTTCACACTGTTGAATAGCCTTGTGTAATTTCTCTTTTTCGAACTCGTTGTATCCCCCACTAAAAAAGTTCAGAGACAACGATACCAAAAGAACCAGCCCAATTGTCGTTCCAAAGATATCCAGTCTTGGTTTAAGCATTTCGTACACGATTCTTATCCGTCATTATTCAATTAATCTGTTTCAGGACACCTAGAGCACTTTATGAATCTGTTGTTTTGAGAATGTGTTCAACACATCTTTTTTTCTTGGACCAGTTCGCGATCCGGGTGTACCTCTGTTTTAAGCAGCTTCCCAAAAAGGTAGCTTCTCCGTTAGGAAGATACTCGATAAGGAATATCCTGTGATAAATCATACAAAAAGCTTTTACAATCTTTGCCTTTTTCACAAACTTTTCCTCAAATGTCATCAACATGTATCATCAGGAGAAAAGTGGTAGACACTCGAAAAGAAATATCACCATAGGTACGCTATCAACCTTGATCACAATTGGGGTTTTAGCTTCTTGGTCAACATTGGTGAACGTTAAGACCCCAGAGAGTTTTAACGACATTGTCAAATTGGATTATTGCCCAAAATTATTGAAGCTTGTACCAGAGGAGAACAGTCAGTTATTAAGCCTTTCAGATTTTTACTCGGAAGCATACAAGAACTATTCGTTAAGTGTTTGGCAAGATGCAATCAAAATCTATACACCAAGTTTTGATGATTTAGGTGCTGTTGGTGAAGACAAAAGATGGGAAGTTTTCTTTAAATTTGAAAAATATTTGAAGCAGTCATTTCCAACTGTTCATGAATTAGCAAGTTTAGAACATGTTAACCTTCATGGGTTGGTTTATCACATCAAAGGTTCAGACGCTTCTTTAAAGCCTATTATGTTAACAGGCCATCAAGATGTTGTCCCTGTTCCACCAGAAACTATCAACAGATGGACTTATCCGCCATTTGAAGCATACTTTGATGGAAAATTTGTTTGGGGTCGTGGATCTAGTGATTGTAAAAATAATGTCATTGGTATATTTGAGGCTTTGGAACAGTTGTTTACTCGTGGATTTAAGCCAAAAAGAGGTATTGTTGTTGCATTGGGATTTGATGAAGAGTCAAGTGGTAAAGAAGGGGCGGAAAAGATAGGACAATATCTTTTAGAGAACTTTGGTGAAAAGTCTTTCTTTAGTATAATAGATGAAGGTGGTTTGGGTATACAAGACTTTTATGGTACAAGGTTCGCTCTCCCATCAACTGGTGAGAAAGGTTATGTTGATATATTTATTGACTTGGTTACTCAAGGAGGACACAGCTCTGTTCCTCCAAAACATACAGGAATTGGTATCATTAGTCATTTGGTAACACTCATTGAATCATATGATTATAGTTTGGATATAACTGATAAAAATCCATTTTTTTACCAGCTTCAATGTGAAGCTAAATTTGGTGCATCTATCGACCGCAGACTAAAATCTGACCTACTCAACATTGGAGATCCAAAATCAAAGAAGAGAGCATTGGATATTTTAGCAACAGATGGAACAACGAGAGCTTTATTATCAACAACACAGGCGGTGGATATCATACATGGAGGTTTAAAAATCAATGCTTTACCTGAAAAAGTCACATTGAAGATTAATCACCGGGTCGGTTATGATTCATCAATCAAAGAAGTTAAAGATCGTATCACATCGCTCGTACTACAAGTGGCAGGTTTATATGATTTAGGAGTTCAGGCATTTGAAGAAACTTTGAAAGATGCTGTAAATGGCCAATTTACAATCATCAGTGATTCTGATTTGGATCCTGCTCCTTTGACATCAACCATTGATAACCCAACATGGGACATATTGGGTGGAACAATAAAGCATGTGTTTGAAGATTTCGCAAACTTTACTGATCATAATCCAGAAGTTGATCCAGAAGTTATTGTGGCCCCAAGCTGTATGACAGGTAATACTGATACTAAACACTATTGGAAACTCTCAGAAAATATTTACCGTTTCACTCCCATTCAACAAGAAAAGAGACTAAATGCACATGCTATTGATGAACGAGTTCAACTTGATGCTCACATCGAAGGTGTTGTATTTTACCATCAATTTATTAGAAACGCTGATTCATATGAATGAATAGATGTATATTAAAATAATAAATTGCCATGTAAAATCTCCTCAACATTTGGGTAACAACGCTCCACTCTACCGTCTTCGACACTCAACGCAATATTGGCACCAAATTCAAATGGATTATGTTCAAAAATTAACAGGTTTTTGTTTTGTTCAATGCCAAATATCTCTTCAACACTTGTTATTAAATTAACTGTTTCCACAAATGTAAAATTGGTTGATTCAATGGATTTAGCGGCAGACCCAACCTCCCAAAATATTCTTCTGAGGTTTGTAGCTTCATCATACGCGATTGAAAATTGAACACCAGCCTTGTATAAAATTTCGATAGATGATTCACTTAATGGCATATTTGGTGAGCAATGTCTGTTTTCCCAAAATTTAGCTGTACATCTCCATGGT